GGACGCGGAGGCTGCCTACGCGGCGTCGACGGCACCTCTTGATCGGGAAGCATCTTGCTGGGATGGTTGGTCCGGCAGGGCAGAAATGCACGAATTGTCGGACTGTTTTTTTTGTGGATTCAGTCATGTACAAATTAAGCATATTTGCCTCCTTTTGGTTGTGATCGGGGACGCGATCCGATGTGAGTGTGATTCGATGCGTTGTGTGGATCAACATAGATTTGAATTTGAAGCGAACAGAATGCGGCTACAGTTGGATGGCTGCCTCCTGCATCTGTGTCCGCAAATTGATCCTCCTATTCACGGAGGGGTGCGGGAGGTTTTTGTGGGTTGTCATTGTAGATGCCCTTAGATATCATTTTAATTCACGTGTAATTGTTTTATTTTGCCACTGTGTGACTGATATCTGAATCTTATGAAACCCTTCGTTCTTAATTAATGAAATGCCTTGCTCTAATGAGGGATGGGCGATGACTATGGCATGTCTTCAGCTCGCTACAATGTTTACATTTGTCGTTAGATGGTCTACGGATATAAATGTAGCTTTTACTTCTGATATTCTTTTTACTACCTTCAAAGTTGATGAATAGATAGAAAAAATTTCTCGAAAAAAAAAAAGAAATGCCCACATAGTACTCTCTCTGAAACATAGCTATAGCTGCCGTCACGAGGCAGCGCAACAAAAATATTCTACGGCCATCAATTTCCTAGGCCATTTTCTCTTTTGATGATAACCCAAGGCCATTGTTTCACGAGCGAACAGCAGAGTAATCCATTTCTCTGCCTTTTCGGGCAGTGTATTCACTCCCGACATCCAGGCAGTAGCAAAATTTACACGTCCGAAAAGAGATTTTTTGTTGTTGTTGTTTTTTCGCCATTTCATGGAGATCTCGTCGGTCCGGGAATGAGATCACCGGCCACGGCCGTCGCCCGCCTGTGGTGGCTAAATATCGTGTTTTGACCTTTTTCTGATATCTATTTAAAAATTGATCTAGTTTAATAAAATTTTGAGATCTGACATTTTTGTTACCGTCAAGGTTTATGGCGATAGAGTCCAACAGCCCATCGTCAAAGTCTCTGACAATAGGGTTGCATGCCCTACCGTAAAATTTTCCTAAATGTTGAATACAGTGCGTGCTCGTACCTACCGCCAAGCACCTTGACGGTAGGATTGTACAGGCTACCACCAATATGTTTGGCGGTAGGGATGTTTCCTACCGCCATAAACCCTAACGATGGCAAAAAGGTCATATCTTGATTTTTTTTAACTAGAGCCAAATCTCAAATAGGTTTTAGAAAAGGGTTGCCGCCCGTTGTAACCGACGCACAGACGGGCCACCGTGGTCATAAAGACTCGACCCCTCCACCTCCCGCTGCCGGCTGCCACTGTTCACCCTATAAATAAGCCCGTCCATCGCCGCCTTCCCTCAGCCCGCCTCCCGTCCAGCTCCCATCGCGCCCCACTCACCCAGCTCGGCTTTCGAAACGTACCGAAGCTCCACCATCCTTTGCTTGCTTCCACTGGAGCGCTGCCTTGGCCCGGCGTGCTCGTGCCGCGGCGTTCGTGCGTGCTCGCGGTAGCTAGCTAGCTCGTGCGGCGCGATGGGCAGGCTGGGGTCGAAGAGGAGGGTGGGGGAGGAGACGGAGATGGAGGTGGTCGAGGAGGAGGAGAAGGAGTACGAGGTGGAGGAGGTGCGCGACCGGCTCCAGTCGTCGCGGAACAGCCGGCTGGCGCTCTTCGGCTCCGACCTCCGGCTCGGCCCGCGCCGCCGGCGCCCCCCTCGCCGCCCCGCCGTCGACGGCGAGGACGGGTTCTTCCACGACCACATCATCCTCCCCGACAACAAGTACGTAGCAGCAACAACAGCACACGCCCCACCTCCCTCCCCGGCTCTCTCCATTTTCCTTCCTGGCTTCTCGATGCTTCCGCGCGCACGCTGGCCGTCGCGCCGGCGTGTTCTGGAAGCTCGATCGGTCGTTTTGCTGTTGCTACAATTACAAACACAAGCAGTTTCTCAATAAAATAAAATAAAATAAACCCAAGCCGCAGAAGTACCAGAAATATCCTATTTTTCCCCTCGTAATTTCTGGTTTTACTCTGGCCTCATCCAATCGTTCCCGTTCCGTCCAACAGTGTGTGCATTGTTCCTGACCGCGATCCAGTCGTTTGTTGATGAGCTCGCCAGCAGGGTGCGCCGTGAGCAGGCAAGCTTGCTTCGTCGGCAGGCAGGCAGCCACATGTAGCATAGCATGTAGGTGTAGGTAGCTACAGCTACGCCGGCGTTCACGGGATCGTGTCCGGGGGCCATAGAAACCGGGATAGCAGATTGCTTTTGCTTTACTAGCTTCCCTTTTCCGCGTCCCGATTCTAGTCGGGTTAATTTTTTCAGTTCTTTTGAGCTAGAAGCATGCCTGCTCGCAGAGATCGTTTGTCTAGATAAATGCGCCGGGAAATAGACAGCACAATTTAACTTCCCCTTTTTTTTCTTTTTCCACGGCTTGATAAACTATGGCCTGATAAAAAGGAGGGATGCGATCGACATGCTGTGGTCGGAGAAAATTGATTGTCTCCTTCCATGAAAATGAAAGTGAGATACAGTTTTTTGTTTGTTTGAATATATACAAGGGTGAAATGTTGTCCCGTGAATCTGAAAAGAAGGGTGGAAGCTAGTGGCACCCTGATGAATTATCCCATGAAGACCCGGGCCCTTTCATTATCCGCTTTTAGCCCCGTACGTGGATGATATGAGAGAGTACCCAAAGCACTCCACAGAAAATCGTTTCGTGACTCTCGTCTTTCTACTACCTCTCCTTTTCTTTCCTGGTTTTCCAAAACCTTCAACTTGGGATATGTTTAGCACGGCCGGCAAGAAGAGCAGAAAATCATACAGTATATATATGGTTTATGCATCGTCCGGATGCAGAGGCCGGGGTTACATCCTTCTTTTCAAAAAATATATATGCAGGCATACACATCAGTAAAATTTTCCTAAAAGAAAAAGTATTCGGTAAATTAGCAGAGGATTTAAGCCGCGTCAACTACGTGCACATATGCATATAGCTGTTATCACCAGCTATACATACCAATCCAAGTATAGCACAGAGGTCTCTGCTTACCACAACATGACAAGTAGGCTATATATATGGCTTGCACGAGCAAGCTTCCTCCTCCGCGCCAACCAGGTGTGCGGCCGCCTGGTTCTCGCCAACGTACGTCGTGCTCCCCAAATCCCATTTCGTTTCTTGGCTGACTTGGCCAGGTCCATAGTTTGAACCGCCTAAAGCATTCATCAGGATGACCGGGTTGGTTTAGCGCCGCTAATCCGGCGGTGAGGTAGCTGGAGTCGTTATCCCGGGGGAAATATTTAAGTGGGTGTGCTTAGAGCAGCAATCAGTTCTGCGGCCATGTGTGGGATCTCTTGACAGCTAATCCATGGGCATGATGTGGACAGTGTTAGCATAATCAGACAGAATTGGTGACATCCAGTTCGTATATAAAACGTCTTAGTACATTTGTTTACAGAGCGAGTCGCATATACCGTAAGACATTTGCAATGTCTTCCCTCCTCGATGTCTTGACCTTTTTTTTTCGAGAAAGTCTCCGACTTGTCGTAACTGTGTGCTCATGACTAAAATTTTAAGTTCAGCAGGGCTATAGATTATTACAGCTGAGCGTGTACGCTCTGTGGTTATGTAAAAGTGGCACTACGAGTACATGAAAATTGCAAAATGATAATAATCTGATGATGTACTATAAAGTAAAATGGATGTGATTGTAACAGATCTTGTTAGAGATGAGGTGGCTCCGTGACAGACGCATCGTCATTTAAATTTATTTCGCGCCAAGTGGTTCCGATCGACCCAATTAGTTTACCACTAGTATGAGTACCGTTGGAGGATCGGTGCACAGGAGGAACCCACTCATGGCCGCATCACCCACCCCTGACATGCTCATGTGCATCATGGAGTATGCGTGTGATCTCACCGAAGACAACTGGCTAACACTGTGTGCACCAATCCTTAAACATCGGGCACGTTTGGCCTAATTAATGCTTTAATGCTTTTGACCTAATTTGCAAAGGCAGTGTAGTGTGTGGTTCTAGGCTTCTACAGTAGCCACTCTCCCAATCAACTTGACATTTTTCAGAGAGCAAATTGTATGATTGTCAGTCAGTAACTGTGGTAAATAAATTAAAGTCGGTTTTTATGTAATCTTTTGCTCCCTTCAACAAATCACAAATGGACATTTTACTATGGCAACAGCAGGAGGGTGTCAATTTACTGATATGTCTCCCTGCAGGTGGTATCTGCTATGGACCAAGTTCATACTGGTTTGGGCGGTGTACAGTTCCTTCTTTACGCCCTTCGAATTCGGCTTCTTCCGGGGCCTCCCCGACAAACTGTTCGTCTTGGACATAGTTGGGCAGATTGCCTTCCTCATTGATATTGTTCTCAAGTTTTTCGTGGCCTACCGCGACCCCGACACGTACCGCATCGTACGCAATCCGACCTCTATTGCCCTCCGGTAAATATTTCCTCATCTTATGCTTGAAAGTGCACTACAATAACCGGAAAATGCCCTGCATTATTATAAACCATCCGAATCATTAAAATGGTGGATCTCAAGAATGATATGCTGGACCTCTCAATTATTTTTATATTGCTGAAATGGAAGTGCTTACTGTGTTGCCTTGCTGTACTTTAACTTTTACTTCTCTCTTAATAAAGTCAGCTACGGCCTTTCGAAATGAAAATGCTTTTCCAGAAGGGCATTTGCATGTTCTACATTTAACTTTATTCTTGCAATATTATAGTAGGGCATTTGCATGTTGTACATTTAACTTTATTCTTGCAATATCATATTAAGGCTTTTGCTTTGTGTACTTTCTGGAACATGTCATGCAATAATTCAAACCTGACTTCTAACCTCTGATTTATTTGCTCACTTGATCCAGGTACTGCAAATCAAGCTTCATTTTTGATCTCCTTGGTTGCTTCCCATGGGATATTATCTACAAGGTTACCCTTTGCTAATATTTTTCATTTCTAGTTAGTTGACATGTTGAAATTTTCTGCTCACGGTTTATATCATGAACTGAAAAACAGGCTTGCGGCAGTAAAGAAGAAGTAAGATACCTATTGTGGATCCGTTTAACACGAGCTCTGAAGGTAACAGAGTTCTTCAGGGATCTGGAAAAGGATATCCGCGTGAATTATCTGTTCACAAGAATAGTGAAACTCATAGTTGTGGAGATCTACTGCACACACACAGCAGCCTGTATCTTCTATTACCTGGCCACAACGCTACCCGAGTCAATGGAAGGAAATACATGGATAGGGAGTTTGAAGTTGGGGGAGTACAGCTATGATCATTTCAGGGAGCTTGATCTTATCAAGCTTTATACCACCTCACTGTACTTTGCAATCGTCACAATGGCGACTGTTGGTAAGTTTTGGTCTCATGTTGCCTTGCCATCTCAGTTTTCTCAGAAACTTGGAATGTGTTCCGTGTCCTGAAATGCTGAGACCTTTTCCCTCTGCAGGTTATGGTGACATTCATGCTGTAAATGTCAGGGAAATGATATTTGTCATGATCTATGTCTCCTTTGATATGATTCTTGGCGCTTACCTCATCGGTAACATGACTGCGCTTATCGTCAAAGGCTCGAGAACCGAGCGATTCAGGGACAAAATGAAAGAAGTCATCAGGTATATGAACAGGAATAAACTTGGGAAAGAGATAAGGGAACAGATCAAGGGGCATCTGAGGTTGCAGTATGAGAGCAGCTACACTGAAGCTTCTGTACTTCAGGATATCCCTATTTCAATTCGTGCAAAGGTAACGAGTTATATTTTGGATCTCTTCCTATCCTTCTGTGATACTGTTCTAACTTCTGAGGCTCTGATGCTAATGCTTCGCAAGTATTTATATCTTTACATGGAGTATCAACTGTGTTCTCTGTAGTGATTGATGGTAAATGTTATTGTGTCTGCAGATTTCTCAAACACTGTATAAGCCATATGTTGAAAGCACTCCACTGTTCAAAGGCTGCTCAGCAGAATTCATTCAACAGATTGTAAGTATTTCTTTCTCGGCCAAAATTATGTATGCTGATATATTGTGTAAAATAAAGTTTGAAAAATATCCCGAAGATCTCTCTAACGTGTTCTTGCTCCTGGCAGGTCATCAGACTCCAAGAAGAGTTCTTCCTACCAGGAGAGGTTATTTTGGAGCAAGGCAGTGCAGTTGATCAGATATACTTTGTCTGTCACGGTGCGCTGGTGAGTTCAGGCCTAGTGATAGTTGCCCAATTCTTTCATACATACTTTAGTAACCAGACAGGTTTGCTTATGGAGTTCCTTTTGGACCAAACTATCACTTACTGTACAATTCCTATGCTATTCAGGAAGGTGTTGGCATCGGCGAAGACGGTCAAGAGGAGACTATTTTGATGTTGGAGCCTGAGAGTTCTTTCGGAGAAATCGCTATCCTTTGCAACATCCCACAGCCATACAGTGTTCGTGTTTGTGAACTTTGCAGGCTCTTGCGGCTCGATAAGCAGTCATTCACAAACATACTGGAGATCTACTTTGTCGACGGAAGGAAAATTTTGAGCAACCTCACTGATGTACGCAACCGTAAACAATCAGCAAAACAGCCGTTACATCATAACAATCTATACTGGAGATTTTTTTTTACTGATTTGCTGCCTGCCTGTCTTTGACTGCAGAACAATGAATATGGCGGACGAGTCAAACAAATAGAATCAGATATCACATTCCACATAGGGAAGCAAGAGGCAGAGCTGACCTTGAGAGTAAACAGTGCTGCCTTTTACGGTGACCTTAATCAGCTCAAGGGTTTAATCCGGGCAGGAGCCGATCCAAAGAATACCGATTATGACGGGCGGTCTCCTTTGGTAAGGACAGCTTAGAATTTCATGTGATCAACATGAATGTTGTGTTGTACTACCTTATATTGATCATCAGTAATGTATGTCTCATGTAACCATCGTCTTCTTCACAGCATCTTGCAGCTTCCAAAGGGTACGAAGACGTTGCGCAGTTCCTCATCCACGAAGGGGCTGATATCGATCTTGCCGGTATGTCCACTCAGTTTGATGCCATCTCTGCTGCCGTTTCTCCAGGTTTCACAATGCAGTGACTGATCACACATTTTGTGCACTTGCTTTGGTTTTTGTTCGAAACCAGACAAATTTGGGAACACGCCACTGCTGGAGGCAGTGAAGCAGGGGCATGACCGGGTGGCCGCGCTGCTCTTCGGCAGAGGAGCCAAGCTGAACCTCGAGAACGCCGGCAGCCACCTCTGCATGGCGGTGTCGAAGGGGGACTCCGACTTCGTTCGGAGGGCTCTAGCCTACGGCGCTGACCCAGACTCGAAGGACTACGACCACCGCAGTCCTCTCCACATAGCCGCCGCAGATGGCCTGTACATGATGGCCAAGATGCTGGTAGACGCAGGCGCAAGCGTGTTCGCAACCGACAGGTACCAGTACCACAATCAAGCTTGAAACCACCATGTCTGCTGTCTGCAACATTGCTCATGATGGTAGAGCCTGACATTGCCATGTGTGCAGGTGGGGCACTACGCCACTGGACGAAGGGCGAAAGTCGGGTAGCAAGCCGCTGATGATGCTGCTGGAGCAGGCGAAAGCCGACGAGCTGTCCAAGTTCCCCGCCCGCGGTGAAGAAGTGAGAGGCAAGTTCAGAAGCATCACAGCCTCTGTCAGTGAAACCACCACTTGCGCAACGTTCATTTCTGACCTCTGCAAAATTTCTCCTGATCACAGATAGAATGCACCCGCGACGATGCTCCGTGTTCCCCAACCATCCGTGGGACGATGGCGCCGGGCGCAGAGAGGGGGTGACGCTGTGGATCCCACACACGATCGACGGGCTCATCAGGTCGGCGCAGGAGAAGCTGGGCTTGTCCGGCTCAGGCCTGCGCCTGCTCGGCGAGGACGGCGCGAGGGTGCAGGAGGTCGACATGGTCCATGATGGCCAGAAGCTCTATCTGGTCGGAGGCAATGACGGCACGGGGCAGAGCGAGTAGAAGGCGTGCTATGGAACGGAATAAGAAGAATAGTCATGTTCTTCCAGCAAAATTTTGCTGATCTCTTTTTCCTGCCAGGTATTTATGTAGTGTAGGATTAGCCTCCCATGATTTGCGAGCCTTTTTCGCGTGCCGATTGTTGTACCCATAGGTAGATAAGAAAGAAGGCGAGCCCTTCTCTCCACGATGTACAGATTGTGATGATGGAAATGAGATGTAAATGGAAATGAAATGTGCCAAACGAAGTCCATCCGGAAGTGTGAGAAATTCTTCTGTACTCTCAAGAGAACCCTCGTGTTAGCTAGCGTTTTCCAAGAACTCTTTATGGAGATTCTTTGGAACTGTGGGAACACATCAAAGAAATTTTCTCAACTGTGATTATGAATAGGGACAGAGATAGAATTTTCTGGACTCTAGATAAAAAGGAGATTTACACTGTTAAATCATACTACAGGTTCCTGATCGAAAATGGGGTGAAATACCCGCATAAATTCCTGTGGAAGACTAAGATGCCACCCAGGGTGAAAGTTTTTTTATGGTTGGGTTTGCGCAATAGCATTTTGACTAGGGATAATTTGCTTCGTAGAGGGTGGACAGGAGATAAGACTTGCCACTTCTGAATGCAGAATGAGAGCGTAGCTCATTTGTTTCTGAAATGTTCCATGGCGAAAATGATGTGGAATATTATCCAATGCGCTTTTGATTTGAAACAGGTACCTGGCCCTATACAAGACCTGTTTGGGGTCTGGCTGAAACAGTTTGATAAAAATGAGAAATCTCTGGTGACTGTGGGCATTGTGGCGGTTTTCTGGACCATTTGGAAAGTGAGAAATAGTGTAGTTTTTGATAGAAACAAGGTCTCTGACCCTTGTACAAACCTGATGGTTAAAATGTTGCATGACTGGCTCATTTTGCAGGTAAACCCAAGAAGACGAAGAATAATGATGGAGGGTGTAAGAAGAGTTGAGCAGATTTCAGGAGAAATTTTCTGAGCAACCTTGGGGTGGAGGGTGACGGACAGAATCACTGCCGCGTGACCTGTTTTGCTGGTCCTGCCTTGCAGCTTCATGCTCTGGAACAATTCCCTGTCTTGCTCCTGCTCGATTATCGCCTCTGTCCGTGTTTTAGTTGAACTTGTCTTTCGGATCTAGACTTATGTGTTAGATATTTTGTGATGTTTGTTCCTTTGTTCTAGAGAGCCCGGCTTGTGGGATTTCTCGGGATGGTTTGCGTCTGTGTGTGTGCTCTAGACCTAGTTCCTTTTGCGGGCTGGGAGGTTGCGTCCCTGAGAAGTGGGTGGGTCCGTGGGTGGGTGGGTGCTACTCCCTTCGTTCCGAATTATTTGTCTTAGATTTGTCTAGATACGAAGGTATCTAGATACCTTCGTAACTAGACAAATCTAAGACAAGTAATTCAGAACAGAGGGAGTAGTTCCTTGCGTCGTCTTCAGGAGTGCGCATCGTGGGATATGCTGATGTGGTGTACGTCCGCAGTGTTATCTGTAATCGGTTTGGTAGTCTGTAAGAGCAACTCCAATGGGGCGACCCATTTTGTCTGCCCACGTCTGTTTGGATCGGCGCGGACAAAAGTGACGGCCCAACGCGCCGACTAAAACGGATGCGCGTCCATTTTTCATCCGCGGGCGACCCATTCCAGGTTCAATTTTGAGTTGGATTTGCGTCGGCACGGACACGAGACGGATGCGCGCGCGCACCTACTCCTCTCCCCGGGCCCGCCTGTCGGTGGCAGCCACCACCATTTCCCCCATTTCCCCCAAAAACGCTCCCGCCCGCGCGCGCCCCCGCCCCCCAACCAGCCATGGAGGACGCCATCGACCTCGACCTCGACGCCGCCGCCGGCCTCGCCTCGTCCGGCGCCGTCGCCCCCTTCGGGAAAGGCAAGCCTCGTGCCCCGCGCAAGACCACCGCGGTGACCAAGCCGAAGAAGGCACTGACGCCCGAACAGCGGGCAAGGGAGTCGGCCAAGAGGAAGGGCCGGAGGCACGACGCAGACGCGAGGGGTGAGGCCGCTGCGCAGGCCGCCGCCGTCGCCGCCGCGCAGCAGGAGTTCACCAACGCCCGCGTCGCCGCGGCAACGAGGGAGGTGCTCTACATGCTTGGGGTAAACCCTAGCCAGCACAGCCTCGTCCAAGCCGCTGTCGCCGCGCCCAGCACCGGCTCGTCGGCGTTTCCTCGGATGGTGATGCCCGACTCACCCTCGCATCGGCTTGCAACCCGGTCCCCGGCTTCCACGTCTACCCGCAGGCCTCCCGCCTCTCCGGGGAGTGCTCACTCGACGTGAGCGTGGTCGTGCCTTCCACGCCCGTGCCCGCGCCCATCGACCTTAACGCCACCCCGGTGGTCGGTGGCTCGTCGTCCGGCGGCACAAGGAAACGCGCGTGACAGACGCCGGCCGGCGATCTCCCAGACGCCCGTAACCTGTTCGAGGAAATGTCGTCCGCCATCGACGAGGACTACATGCAACACCTCATCTTCGAGGGTGGTGCGTCGGGCGCTGGCTACGATCCCGAGGAGACGCAAAGCCAGGACGGCTGCAGGGCGTTCACGCCGGCCGCTGGCTATGATCCCGATCAGGCGGCCTTCATGCGTGATCAGGTCGGCATCGACCTGGACGGCTTCCCCCTCGACCACGAGTTCCCGGAGGACTATGTGCTAGAGGAAGAGGACGAGTGCGACATCGAAGTGAAGCCTTTGTTCGAGGACGAGCTCGCCAACCAAACCGCTGGTCCTAAGCCGAAGCGCAAGAGCGAGCGCACGAAGGCGTACATAGCTGCCGAGGACAAGCTTCTTTGCGAGTGTTGGCGAGACATTGGACAAGACCCAAAGACGGGCGCCAAGCAAAAGCATTCGACCTTTTGGACTCGTGTGCACCGCGAGTTTCATGAGCGCAAGAAGTTTCCACCTTACCAATTTGTGAGCACGCGCGGGTGGGTCTCCATTTCCAAGCGGTGGAGGGTGATCCAACAAGAGTGCAACAAGTTTTGCGCCACCCTTGAGAGCGTCAAGGCCCACCCTGTGAGCGGCATCGGCGTGCAAGACATGGTATGCTAGCAAGCCGCCCTCTTTTGTGCCATCAAGATCACTTGCTCATATGCTTGCATGGAAACATTTTATAGGCATTTCAAGCTTTGGAGGCATTCAAGGTTCAACACAATGGCAAGTGCTTCAACCTCTACCATTGCTATCGGGTCATCAAGGACGAAAAGAAGTTCAAGGCACAATATGCCGCGCTCAAGGCACGTGGGGGGAAGGGCGTCGTGGAGGATGTTGGGGAGGGCGAGCCGGCACGGCCGCGGGGGAAGACCAACTCCAAGAAGGAGGACAAGCGAGATGCGGTCACCAACGCCTTGATCGCAAGCGTGGACGGCATGATGAATAAGGACTCAAGGGAGGAGGAGCGCCAGCGTTTCAAGGCGGAGCAAATGGATGCTTTCATGGAGATCCAAAGGAGGAGGCTTGATCTTGACGCCGAGAAGCAAACCAAGATGTTCGAGCTCGAGGCGGAGAAGCAAGCCAAGATGCTAGAGATCGAGGCCGCCAACGCCAAGACAAAGGCGAAAGAAGTGGCTCTTGCAAGCATGATGACCGGGGTGGAGATCATGAAGGTGGATCTCAACGCCTTGTCGCCAAGGAAGAGGTCGTGGTTCAAGAAGATGCAGGCCGACATGCTCAAGTTCGACGACGAGTGATCTATGGCGTCGAGGGGCCATCTTTTTTGTATGCCGGCAGGTGTGCCGGCATGACCATGGGAGCTACGATGGCGTGGTCGAACTCAAGTCCCACCATTTTTTGCGTGCTGGCATATGTGCCGGCCGGCTGGCGAGTGCGCCAGCATGAACTGTGGTGTTTTCTGAAGCTGACATTGTATGTCGGCGCTGGCATGGTGCCGGCATGAGACATGGCCGCTGGCATGATCGGCCGCGGGCCTTTTTTATTTAGAGGTTGAATGCGGACATGAAATGCAAAACTGGACGGGCGGCGGGCGGATGGCCGACCCAAACGGATAAAAAGCGGATAAATACGTCGCCTGTTTGGGTCGCCTCATTGGAGTTGCTCTAAGACTTGTGATTTCTGGTAATGAAAATCGGAGAGGAATTTCCTTTTTCTTCTGCCTTCCTTCCCTTCCTCTCCATGTGCTTTGTGCAGCACGCGCTTGGACAATTCTCTGCATAGTGCGCGACAGCAGAGGTGATGGGCCTGAAAGATCCGGATCAAGGAAATCGGTGATAACACCAGCGATTTGGACTGGTCCATATCCAGCGTCCACAGAAACTTAGCCGGTGCTGCAGGGACTCGAGTCGAGCGAGCTCACCAGTCAGTACTACTCAATTGTCACTACTCCCTGCCCTGGTCTAGTATTCGGCGATGTGTTACCCAGCAACCGGTGCGACCGGTCGGAATGGCGACGCCTCAATCAAAAGACTAAACAGCTGCTAGCGCCGTCGCTGTGCAGTCCCTCCCTTCCGTTGCAACTGGCCGGCCGACTGACGTCAGGCGCCTCGTGCCGACCTGAGGGAGGCCGTCGTCTTCTCAGTAGCCCGCGCCACGTTTCACCATCGCCACTATAAAGCAAGTAGCCTTCTCCTCCCCCTCCCGCCCCCCAGCTCAACTTTTTTTTCCTTCGAGCCATCCGCACCCAGCTCCACTTCAGAATCCAAGCTCCACCGCCACCTTTCCGCTGCCACTGCGCGTGGGGAGGCCGTTGCCGCCGCGGCGTGCCGATGGCGAGGGGGGCGAGGTCGAGGAGGACGCCGGCGGGGGAGGAGGACGCGGAGAAGGAGTACGAGGTGGACGTGGAGCCCGACCGGTGGAAGTCGTCGTCGTCGCGGAACAGCCGGCTCGAGCTCATGGGCCGCCTCCCCCCGCTCCGCCGCCTAAGCCGCATCCCGGGAGCCGCAGACGCCGACGCCGGGGGCGGGTTCCTCCGCGGCCTCGTCATCCACCCCGACAACAAGTACGTATCGTATCGCTGCCATACGGACACGTCCACCTTCCTCTGCTGCCATACAAACTGAACATACTAGTACCGGCGTACTTCACTCTGTATTCACCGTTGCCATCTCTGAAACCTGAGTTTAGTGTGGTTGATTTCGGAGTTAGAGCTGCAGTGCTTGCAAGGCTGCTGAGGTCACATGATACTTCTACTGATGGATAACTGCAAAATGAAATATAATCACCACACAAAACAAACGTAATCAGGAATTTAGATGAAAGAGATGATGATTTTTTTAAAATAACATCCTTTACAAGAGAAAAAGATGGGGGAAAGCATGTGACATACTGACGAGGCATTGTTGATCGGAGGAAGATGAACCAGATAATGAAATCGAACAATGCCTTTAAAACAAAAGGGAGAAACAGCTTCGATCTGATTGTGCGCCCAAGCCCTATGCATATTACTGCCCTCGACCATTTCATTGTTTTTGTCTCCTAAAAAGACCAAGAACACATGCACGCGAGCATTCACGCGGCGCCTCTCAAAATTGGAGTCCTGGACAAATCAAGATTGAACAAACACATAGTGCCTCGCTATCGACTGGTACATTGCCTAGCACTGGAGGAATAATCCATCATACCACTGAAAGAAAATACACCTTGGTGAGACACGTCGCCACAAAACTGGGTTTGATCCGTGGTGGCCTGAGGGCACAACCGCCACCACTAACCACCCAAGCCATATGCTTGGTTCTCGACCAATTCATCGTTTGCTTCTCTCTTTCCTGCATAAAGACTCAAAACAAGCCAGAAATCGCCACGTCTATCGTCATCTCCACTTTCTTTTTCTCTTCAGCAAGCATCAACCTATTTTAATATGCCATCCAACCTGGGATACTTTTTGACATGTTACATCAACAGATGAACATGTGGTCTAACAACCTGCATGCTCATGTAGCTGTTACGCAGCAACACAATATATAATGGTAGAACCCCATCTGCTTACGACGATATGTCAACTAAACTTAAACTAATAAGCTAACACCAGTAACTTGCCTCCACAATGCCAACCAGGTGTATGGCTACTGCAGTTCAGAGTGTTTCTTTATGATGTCGCTCTGCACTCCAAATTTGATTTGGGTACTTGACAGTTTAGATTGCTGGCTTCAAGGGCCTAAAGTACCAGGCTGGCAGCCGCTAATTTGGGTGTAGTTAAAGTAATTTTCTTGAGGAATATTTAAGCTGTTGCGTAGGCCCTGTAGAGTATATCAAAATGTAAAACATTCAGCATGACTTTGCTTCTTAGCCTTGCCCCGGGTGACTGTGACAGATTTTGTTGGAGATAAACTCTGCTGTGCCCAGCAATGCTTAAACAGAGGGCTCATTTGGCCTAGCAACTTCATTTTCACCTAGTTAAGAAAAGCTTTGTGTGTGTGTGTGTGTGTGTGTGGCTCTTGCTAATTTGACAACCAAAATCAAACTTCATAGCCAACAAATTACATGACTGTAAATTAACAAATTAAAGTTGAATGTTTTGTAAGCTTGGTGCTCAACTGCTCACCCATATTTAAATAAATGCTAGAATTACACTCTTTTGACATAAGCCATGTTAAAGGAATAATGGGTGTGCTAATTAATTGATTTGTGTCCTGCAGGTTGTACCGGTCATGGACTAGGTTCATAGTGGGTTGGGCAGTGTACAGTTCCTTCCTTACACCCTTCGAATTTGGATTCTTCAGGGGACTCCCTAAGAAATTGTTCTTCTTGGACATAGTTGGTCAGGTTGCCTTCCTTGTTGATATTGTCCTGAAGTTTCTTGTGGCCTACCGTGACCCTGACACATACCGCATCGTATACAATCCAAACTCTATAGCCCTCCGGTAATATTCACTTATCCCATGCTTTACCAGTACAACTAAAATAATTAGAAGTTGCACTGCATGATTGCCTTATATTCGCATGATATCCTTTCGATTAATTCCACCAGTTTGTACTTTGTGGAATACGTTATTTGGTAACTCAAATGCGGACGAAGCATGCTTTATGTGCTCTATACACCCAGGTATTGCAAATCAAGCTTCATTTTTGATCTCCTTGGTTGCTTTCCATGGGATGCTATCTACAAGGTAACACACAATTTATGACGCGTTAATGTTTAGCCTGTCTGCTTTTGTTTTCATATGATGAACTGTATACAGGCTTCTGGCCATAAAGAAGAACTGAGATACCTACTATGGATTCGCTTAACACGAGTGCTGAGGGTCAGGGAATTCTTCACAGAATTGGAAAAGGACATCCGTGTGAATTACCTGTTCACAAGAATAGTAAAACTCATAGTTGTGGAGCTCTATTGTACACACACAGCAGCTTGTATCTTCTATTACCTGGCAACAACACTTCCTGAATCAATGGAGGGATATACATGGATCGGGAGCTTGCAGCTAGGAGACTATAGCTATTCCCATTTCAGGGAGATTGATCTTGCCACGCGTTATGTTACATCAATGTACTTTGCCATTGTCACCATGGCAACTGTTGGTAAGTTTTGTTCTCATGTTTCAACAAATAGTTTTGCTTTCCATAACTACTTATTTTAGCCTATATAGTATTTTAAGATGATGATATGGTCTTATTTTTCCTCTGCAGGCTACGGTGACATTCATGCTATAAATGTTAGGGAAATGATATTTGTCATGATTTATGTTTCCTTTGATATGGTTCTTGGTGCTTACCTTATCGGTAACATGACTGCAATGATTGTGAAAGGCTCGGCAACCGAGCGATTCAGGGATAAAATGAAAGAAGTTATCAGGTATATGAACAGAAATAGACTTGGAAAGGACATCAGAGAACAGATCAAGGGGCATTTGAGGTTGCAGTATGAGAGCAGCTGCACTGAAGCCTCTGTACTTCGGGACATTCCTGTTTCTATTCGTGCAAAGGTGATAATAGTTATAATTTGGAGATCTTGCCATTCTTCAGTGATGTAGTTTTAAGACTGTCCTCTCTACAATAGTCAGCTTGCAGTTGGAAGTCTTGTGTCTTCAACAAGGCACATCAAATATGTTCTTGTCTGTTGTGAGTCTTTGACTGATAATATATTTTGTATTTGCAGATTTCTCAAACACTGTACATGCCATACATTGAAAGGACTCCATTGTTCAAAGGATGTTCGGAAGAATTCCTTCAACAGATTGTGCGCGCTGTTTTCACTCTGACAAACTATGCATGTTGACCTGGTGTATAAAGTTGAAGAAGTTCCCAAGATTTTCTAATGTGGCTTTGCTCCTTGCAGGTGATTAGGCTGCAAGAAGAGTTCTTCTTACCAGAAGAAGTTATTTTGGAGCAAGGGAGTGCGGTTGACCAGTTATACTTTGTCTGTCAGGGTGCACTGGTTAGTTCAATCCTTAAACAATAATCAAAGCCTAAACCAAATTGGTTAATTATCGAATCATTTGGTTTTCATATGTGTTTACTATTGTGTGTCTTTCCGTAATATACTGGTTATTGTTAAATTCCTTCTGGCGGTTCCACATTTTTATATCTAAGAGTGTGAGTTCCCTAAGCATGGGCGCAAATCTCAGAGCATGAATTCCGACGAATACTAATGGGGTATAGCTACAGAGTGTACACAATCCACAAATATATTACCCACAAATTTTGTGCCGTTGTATATACTCTCAATATCAACATTGTATTCACATATTTTTTGGCACCGCTTGTTTATCTTTGTATTTATAAATGTACTGTCGATTGTGAAAGAAATTCTCTACGTACAATTGTATCATAATAACGCACATGCACCACAACTAAGTTGTTCTTTTCGGGTACATTTCTAATGCCACAAATTGTGTCCCAAGCTAATGGTGCAGTCATTCCTAGCTGAAATTTGACCTTACAACTAGTTATTATCCATCTTAGACAACATATATTCTTCCGTTCAGGAAGGTGCTGCCGTTGGCGAAGATGGTCAAGAGACTATTCTTATGTTGGAGCAAGGGAATTCTTTTGGAGAAATTGCTATTCTCTGCAACATTCCACAGCCCTACACTGTTCGTGTTTGCGAACTTTGCAGGCTCTTACGGTTGGATAAAGAATCCTTCGCGCACATATTGGAGATTTATTTCACTGATGGAAGAAAACTTTTGAGCAATCTTACCGAGGTACACAGTAGAAACAACCAACATGCCATTAATTATTTCATCTAAGTCCAGTATTCATAGATGCTGCATCTTTTTTCTTGATGTGCTATCTCCGACTGCAGAGCGATGAATACGGCAAACGGGTTAAACACATAGAATCAGATATCACTTTCCATATAGGAAAGCAAGAGGAAGAGCTTACCTTAAGAGTTAATAACGCCGCTTTTTATGGCGACCTTCATCAGTTGACTGGCTTAATCCGGGCTGGAGCCAATCCAAAGAATAGTGATTATGATGGGCGGTCTCCTTTGGTACAAATTACTAAGATTTGGTTATATGGTTCTTATCTAATTCAAAACATTTGAACCCTCCATGATGAATATTCCATGCCTGATGTAACCAGCATCTTCATCGCAGCATCTTGCAGCTTCCAGAGGGTATGAAGATATTGTGCAGTTCCTTATCCATCAAGGGGCTGATATCAATCTGACTGGTATGCTCACTCGTCGAAATGCATCCTTGCAGCAATTTTCCAGCTTCTTGCATATAAACTTGTATAGTTATGTGATCACACTTTTATGCACTTAATGTTGCTCGATAGCAGATAAATTTGGGAACACGCCCTTACTAGAGGCGGTGAGGCAGGGGCATGATAGAGTGGCCACATTACTCTTCAGCAAAGGAGCCAAGCTGAACCTCGAGAATGCCGGTAGCCATCTCTGCACAGCAGTATCGAAGGGAGACTCTGATTTCATTCGGGGGGCTCTAGCTTATGGTGCTGACCCAAACTCGAAAGACTACGACCACCGCAATCCTCTCCACATAGCCGCTGCAGAGGGCTTGTATATTATGGCGAAGTTGCTGGTAGAAGCTGGCGCAAGTGTGCTTGCAACAGACAGGTACCACCAAATAATACTTCATCTTTTATCTGTGCCATCAATCTTGAAGCCACTTAGAGTGTAATACTTTTGCTAAAGAAGTACTCTGTTTGTAACTTTGAAGGCATGCTTGAGCTTGACATTGCCAATTATGCAGACGCGGTACTACTCCTCTGGATGAAGGACACAAGTCCGGGAGTAAGCCACTTATAATGCTGCTTGAACAGGCGAAAGCCGACGAGCTCTCCAAGTTCCCCACACGAGGCGAAGAAGTGAGAGGCAAGTTCAGAAGCTCGCACCTCTGCGAAAATCACGTGCACATTGTTCATTTATGACAAAAAGAACTTCTGTTGGCAGATAAGATGCATACACGACGATGCTCCGTGTTCCCTTACCATCCATGGGATACTGATGCCAAGCGAAAGGAGGGGGTGATGTTGTGGATTCCTCACACTATCAATGAACTCATCGGGTCAGCCCAGGAGAAGCTGGGTTTGTCCAGCTCATGCATGCGCTTGCTCTGTCAGGATGGCGCGACGGTCCAGGATGTGGACATGGTCAATGACGGGCAGAAGCTCTATCTGGTTGGAGACAAGGACATGGGTGACAGCGAGTAGAAGGTGCACCAATCGCTGAAATAAGAATAATCATATTGTGTTGCATCAAAATTTGTTGTTGTTTTTTGGGTCAGGTATTTCTGAAAGAGTAGCCTATTTCCACCCTACCTTTTCTGGTATGCTGGCTGGGTGCTGTGCTGTACATAGATATATAAGCAAGGGAATGGCTGGACTGATTCTCGATGTTGTACAAATTATAGTTGAATGGAAATAAAATGTGTAGCTGAAATGAATTGCGCATCAAGATGTCCACAAATTGGTTCCACTCTAAAGTTGAGCTAGTGTTTTGTACTACAATGAGTAAGTGGAAGGACCAAAATATTTTCAGCTAAAATGTAAAATGGAAGTTGGATGTGGATGAATATCTCCACAAAAAAAGGGAAATGTTTATTGTGCACAATTAAGAGAAGAGGACCATGGAGCGTACAAGAGCAAAAATGTTGGGCATGGAACAAAGGCTGCTGCTGTAGTTACCATGTGTTTGTGCAGCGCACTTGACTGTCAGGAAATTTGAGCTGGTTCTCCATTGTTACTGCAGAACTTCCCCTTTGCTGCTGCTCTTTGGGAACTAGAATGTCTCGCTAGATCTGCACTATCTTGTCATAGCTGCTCATTCTGGTTATCCATGTAGTTGAACCGACTCCAATTCCCTGTTCGTGGCACCATATACCTGTCATGTTCATTAAAACCCCAGTTTTTTTAGCTTCGGTACGACTTAACTTGCAGTTCCATCACTGCGTTATTATTTGCATATATGAATAGTAGGCAGGCTCTCTTCTCTGTAAAGTCCACAATCATGAACTTGCAGATGTCTGACTTTTCCCTGAATGATGGACCATCACTGTCCAAATATGCAGTTCACAGTATATTAGCCTCTACCCGCAAAAAAAAAAGGTATATTAGCCTCTTCAGCTGATCTAAATAAACCTCTGCTGCTGAGTTTGCTCTGGAAACATAACAATACTAGTACATCGTTGCTGATAAAATTTTAGTAGGCGTATGTGTAAATATAGAGGGCTGGGAACATGTGCTGCTGAGTTTGCATGGCAGGATTATTGCAGCTTCCCTCTGCTGCTGCTGCTGCGTTGTCTCCTGATCATCCCCAGGGAGACGGCGATCTCTTCGTTATCCGCACCACCATCAAGGACACGCCGTCACCCTGTGCACAACAGTAGCCGGCTCAGCCAACGCACTTCACTTGAAACTCAAAAACTGAGCCAAAATGTGAAGCAGTATGCATATTCGCTTAACAGCCAGATCTGAAGATGGGGGTGCCATCAGTGCGGTATTGTTCATTTGCTCAACAGAAGCAATCAAACTATGGAGATCCACTTGGCTGGAAAAACAACCCATGCATGCTAGCAAGATAGAGAGAATGTTCTCTAGATACAACTTCCCTTCATTGATTAATCATGATAAGTTCATGAAGTAATTTTACATAGTTACACACCATCATACTACAAGTTTTGTAGTGTGCCCCAAAAAAAGAACGATAGAAGTATTTCACTCTTCTTTGCAGATTCATAAATAAATTCACAGATGCAACAATCAAACGTGTCATACTTGCAGGATATCAAATATCTCGTAAACTTACTACATCAAGGCAAGGTACCGACAATAGATAGAAGACTACTTCTGAATTAAGCCTGACAAGGAGGGAGTATTTGTCAGTCAAAGGTAATTCGTTCCAAAAAAACTGAACACTACACAGGAGCCATTACCCCTGCCTAGATCAATCAACCATTATATAAAGTAAATGCATAAACACACCTCAAGAACAATTACTTCGAGTCTTCGACAGTCCAGCTTAGCTTATGGTAGCCACCACATGTGTTGCATGTTTCTCTTGAGTCTCACACAAAGAGTGAAAATGTCACGAAATTTCATACTGGTCTTGTTCATGTAAATCTGAATCTAGCCGGCACTTCCCCTCTGCAAGCTGCTGCATAGTCTTTGGCGAGTTGTGGTGCAGCTTTCTTGTGAGGGCATATGAACTTCTCCATGAATACCTTCTCGCGCAGCACAACTGCAGCATAGTAGTCTCGTCCATGATCTAGCAATCCATTTTCCTTAAGAAACTTTACAGCATAGTACCGGGGCCTTAGCCGGCCCTCTAGGCTGTAAGTGAGCAATGTCAACCGATGAGCAATGTATGCCGGTTCCAACCCAACTTCAGAGACCAGGAACTCTGACTTCCTCTGCAGCAGGTCCTTGGACAACGTCAGCACCATTGGAGCTTTGCAAACAGCAATGCGCACCTCAGCATCCGACCACCTGAACATGTTCTTCAAGTGGTCCACTTTGGCTGTGATCTTCTCCTCGCCGTAGAATGCGACCTGCAGCGCTTGCCTGAACATCCCGGAGCCCCGAGGCACGCCTATGCCTTCGGCGCATGCGACCATTGCCTGGAGACGCTCCAGCTTGGTGCTAAGCAACCATGGCGCGTAGGTGCACAGCTTGGCAATATCGCAAGCGCCGAGCCCGCACTCCTCCAGGAACGCGACGTTGGGCTTGATCACAAGCTCAAGGTCGGACGAGAGAAGGCAGGAGCCGTACTTGAGCGCCCGGAAGAGCTTCTCGGCGGAGCCGAAGAGGTGCAGGTAGTACTGTAGGCTGGAGACGATAGATCTACAACGGAACTGGGCGCCGCCGAGCGAGACGAGGCGCGCGATCTCAGGATGCGAGAGACCGAGGCCGGTGAGCCCGAGGACGACGGGGGCCAGGGTCCTCTCCACGCCGGCGCAGAGGAACTTGGGGTCCTTGGCGACGAGGGCGGCGACGTGAGCGCTGGAGAGGCCGAGGCCGACGAGGAAGGCGAGGACGGCGTCGGGATTAGAGGGGGACCTGAGGTAGTTGAGCTTGGCGGAGGCCTTGAGTGCCTGGGCCCCGGTGAGGCCGCAGGTGTCGACGAGGTAGTTCTCCACCGCGAAGCTAGGGTTCGGGGAGACGACGGGCGCGGCGGCAGAGATGAGGCGGCGGAGCTGGGAGACGGGAGAGGCGGGCTGTCACACCCCCACCAACTGGATATAAACTCCCTGTAGCTTTTTGGGCAAATTATCGAATTAATGAATGAACTGAGCTGCTCCAGCTCCTTCGTTCTCGGTCAATCCCTTTGCCATTTTTTATTTCTATCCTGTGATTCTCTAGCTGCTGCTAGGGACATCACAATTGGTATCAGACTAGGTCATTCTACTCCACACAACGGCGTCGCGTACATCACCAATCCCAAACGCCCAGACCAGATTCATCCTGCTCGAGATGGAGGAGATGCAGAAATCCCTGCAGGAATTCTTTACCAAAGCGCTTGACGAGAAGCTCGCTCCAGTGACGGCCGAGCTCCGTGAGCTTCGCTCGGATTTGGAGGAGGTCAAGCGAGCGCACTCCCCGGCTGTTCCTCCCCGCGAGCCCGCCCAAAATCAGCTCGACGGCGGAGGCAACGGCGCCCCCCAGCTGCGCGCGTCGGTACCCTACGCGGACGACCCCGAGGGTCACCTCCAGAGTCACGCCGACGAGCCGTACAACCTGCGGTCCGTACCTTGCGGCGAGCCGCTTCCACGCGGGCGATGCGAGGACCGCCGCGACGCCGACCACCGCGACGCGGGCGACCACTACGAGCGCCGCCGCGACGCCGGCAACCACTACGAGCGCCGTCGTGTTCGGGGCGATGACGATGACGGCCATGAGCGCCACAAGGGATTTCACCTGAAGCCGCCCAAACACGCATTTCCAGTCTTCAGAGGGCAGTTTCCTCTGCTCTGATTGATAATTGCTATACCTATTTTGAGATGTACAATGTTCCTGTCCGACATTGGATTGGCACTGCTACACTGTATTTTGAGGATCATGCTGCTCTATGGTTGCAAGCCTACAAGCGCACTCATCGCCAGATTAATTGGGATTCTTTCATCACGACAGTGGTTGCTGAATTTGGGTCTGATGAGTATGATGGGCAGATGTCGACGTTGCTGCAACTTAGGCAAGCAGGCACAGTAGCTGAATACAAGAGGTCTTTTGAAAACTACATGTATCACTTGTTATCTACTGATGCCGCACTACCCTCCAAATGGTTTGTGTCTCATTTTATTCATGGCCTACGTGATGAGCTTCGTGCTGCAGTCAGATTACACTACCCAGCTAGTGTTACCAGGGTTGCGGCATTGGCACACATACAGGAGGAAGAGCATGATCACCAGCGTCCTCGTACACGACCGATAGCTTCCATCAAACACCCTACCACTGCGGTGACTTATGTGGCCCCTCAGGGTACCGGTGTTGTTGTTCGAACAGACGGAGGCCGAAAAAATACAGATGATTATGCTCGGGAACGTCAATTGCGGGATTTCCGTAAGGCCAATGGCCTCTGTTTTCGCTGTGGAGACAAATACACTAAAGAGCACAAGTGTAAACCAGGAGCTCAACTCATGATGATTGAATTGGGTGAATTTGGGGAAGTCTTTTCTGACGACACCGTGCATGCTCTGGAGCTGCTGGAGGAACCAACTACAGACCAAGCATGTTCGATGCTTTCCAGTCACGCCTTGGATGGTACAGAGGACGTGAACACTTTGCGTCTTCGAACATTGGTGGGTAACAAGGTCATGCTAATCCTTGTCGACTCCGGTAGCACGGGCAGTTTTGTCAACTCAGATTTTGTGCATCGGGCACAACTCCCTGTCCAAGAAGCCAAAAGTATTGCCGTGAGACTTGCTAATGGCTCTCGTATATACTCCACCACAACAGTTCCGCAACTCACATGGTGGTGTCAAGGGGCAACTTTCTGTCACAACATGCGAATTCTGGACTTGGGCGCTTATGATGTCGTGTTGGGGATGGACTGGTTGGACAGTTTTAGTCCCATGACTTGTCACTGGCGTAACAAGCACATTTCCTTCCCGTATGGTGACAAGGAAGTGCATTTGCAGGGTATTCTCACTGAAAAACAACAGCAATTACAGGTCATGGAAATTGACCAGCTTCGGAAATCTTTAGTTGGTAACGATGTATGGGCGCTGGCACTGATTGAGCCTGCTCCGACAGACCAAGTGATAGGATCTAATTCTCCTGATGTGTTGAAATTGCTAGATGAATTTGATGATGTGTTCCAAGAGCCAAAAACCTCACCGCCTCATAGGGATTTTGATCATGCAATTACTCTGCAGAAAGATGCACCACCTGTGAATTCTAGGCCATATCGCTACTCTCCATTGCAGAAGGATGAGATTGAGAGGCAGGTCAAGGAAATGCTCAATGCAGGACTAATCAAACTTAGTTTTAGTCCTTTTGCATCCCCGGTGTTGCTGGTAAAAAAGAAAGACAACACTTGGCGCTTCTGTGTAGATTACCGCAATTTAAATGAAATGACTATCAAAAACAAGTTCCCAATGCCAATTGCAGATGAACTAATGGATGAGTTGGGAGGTACTAAATTTTTCTCAAAATTGGACTTGCGTGCGGGATATCACCAGATCCGGATGTTGGAGGAGGATGAACCCAAGACAGCTTTCAAAACCCATCATGGCCACTACCAATTTAGGGTGATGCCTTTTGGTTTAACAAATGCTCCGGCCATGTTTCAGTGCCTAATGAATTCATTTTTTGCCATCTATATTCGGAAGTTTGTCATTGTCTTCCTAGATGATATCCTAGTGTACAGCCCTGATCTGGACACACATCTTCAACATTTGCGGCTCGTGCTAGCTATTCTGCGGGAACATAAATTGTATGCCAAGATGACAAAATGTTCTTTTGCCACAAACAGTATAGAGTATCTTGGACATATTATATCTCATAAGGGAGTGGCCACCGATCCAGAAAAAACATCGGTCATGGTCAAATGGCCCATCCCGACCAACACAACCGAGCTGCGAGGTTTTTTGGGGTTAACCGGTTACTACAGAAAGTTCGTGAAGAACTATGGCATCATCGCCAAGCCTCTCACGAATCTTCTAACCAAAAAAGGGTTCATCTGGACGGACCAAGCTACGGTGGCTTTTAAATTGTTGAAGGACGCCATGGCTAACACTCCGGTACTGGCGTTACCTCATTTTAAACTACCATTTGTTGTGGAGACCGATGCTTGTGATACGGGTGTTGGGGCTGTATTGGCACAAGAAGGGCATCCAGTGGCCTATATGAGTAAAGCATTGGGAATACAAAAAAGTAAATTGTCAATTTATGAAAAGGAGTTCATGGCTGTAATTATGGCAATTGACAAGTGGCGTGCTTACCTCCAGCGGGGACCCTTTACTATACTCACGGATCATCAGAGTTTGTGCTCCCTTACGGATCAACACCTCACTACTGAACTACTGAAAAAGGCAATGTCAAAGTTGTTGGGCTTGCAATTCTCGATAAAGTATCGCAAGGGCAGCAAGAACAATGCTGCTGACTCTTTATCCAGAGTGGGTCACTTACTACAGATGAATGCCCTGTCAATTTGTCAACCTGAATGGGCACAAGAAATCTTGAGTTCTTATGATATGGACTCTGAAGCCACCGAGTTACTTGCTCAGCTAGCCGTGAAGAGCCCTGATGCACGTGGATATTCGTTGGACAAGGGCTTGATTCGCTACAATGGGCGGTTGTACATTGGCAACCTGTTGTCCTTGCAAACAAAGCCTCTCAGTGCTTTGCATGACAGCCCAGTGGGGGGGCATTCCGGCATTCATGCCACCTATCAGCGGGTGCGTAAGGTGTTCTTTTGGCCTGGACTCAAAATGGCAGTGGAGGATTTTGTGAAGCAATGCCCCACATGCCAGAAAGCAAAGAGTGAACGATGTCACCCTGCTGGAACATTACAACCTCTTCCTATTCCCACCAAGCCATGGAATGACATCACCATGGACTTTATAGAGGGCTTGCCTATGTCGGAGGGCATGAATGTCATACTGGTAGTGGTGGACCATTTGACTAAATATGCACACTTCATGCCTCTCCGACACCCTTATACCGCTCCCTCTGTGGCAAAGCTTTTTCTTGATCAAGTGGTGAAATTGCATGGCGTTCCAGAAACGATAGTCTCTGATCGAGATCCTATTTTCACAAGTAATTTTTGGAGAGCACTAATTCAGGCTGTGGGCCCCAAGCTCAATTACAGTACTGCTAATCATCCAGCCACTGATGGGCAGAGTGAACGCGTCAACCAATGTTTGGAGCAGTACTTGCGTTGTGCTGTTCATGATTGCCCAGGAAAATGGCGCCAATGGCTTCCAATGGCCGAATTCTGGTATAATTCCTCCCACCATGCTTCCATCAAATGCTCCCCTTTCAAGGCGTTGTATGGAATGGATCCCAATTTTGGTGCATTGCCTCACCTATCTGTGGATCAAGCTTCCGCTGCCCATAATGTTGCTGCTGAGCGCCAACAAGTTACTAACATGCTCAAAGAAAATTTGCTCAAAGCACAAAACAGGATGAAGTCTTATGCTGATCGGGGTCGCACAGACCGGTCATTCTATGTTGGTGACCCTGTTTTGTTGAAACTACAACCCTATGCACAGTCTTCAGTAGCAAATCGACCTTACCCAAAGCTGGCTTTCAAATTTTTTGGCCCGTTCAACGTGCTGGAACGAATAGGCGAGGTCGCCTACAAATTGGAGATGCCTGCAGCTAGTGCCATTCACCCTGTGTTTCATGTGTCACAGCTGAAACCCTTCTTGGCAAAGTATACTCCTGTCTTCACTACTTTACCAGCTCCAGACACACTACAAGAAAATGCCCCGCAGCCAGAAGCAATTTTGGATCGCCGTATGGTCAAGAAAGGTAATGCTGCAACTGTGCAAATTTTGGTTCAGTGGTCATCTCTTCTAGTGGAATGTGCTACCTGGGAAGATTTCTATGTACTCAAGAATCATTTTCCTAATGCTGCAATCTGGGATGAGCCTCCAACTCAAGGGGGGGGCGATTGTCACACCCCCACCAACTGCGTGTGTGTCTGACAGGCAGGTCCCAGACACGGCTGGGACCATGACGGAAAGGTAGGCGTGCGTTGGTTTTGTGTTGCGTGTGTTGACCGGACAGACCGGCTGTAAGCGTGTGGATATAAACTCCCTGTAGCCTTTTGGGCAAATTATCGAATTAATGAATGAACTGAGCTGCTCCAGCTCCTTCGTTCTCGGTCAATCCCTTTGCCATTTTCTATTTCTATCCTGTGATTCTCTAGCTGCTGCTAGGGACATCACACGGGCCGAGACGAGAGGAGCTGGGTGAGGACGCAGCGCCGAAGCCGGAGCATGGCGGCGCGGCGGCGGCGGTGGGGAAACGAGCTGCTGGTTGGTGAAAGCAAACTCTTTTTTTGAGGGGTTGGTGAAAGCAACTCAGGAAGGAATTCCACGGGCCTTCTCACTCCATGAGTGAAATGGGCCTTTTCACTCCATGCGCTCCAAATGAGTGCAACGTTTTTTTCTTCTGAAAGTTCAAATCAAGCCCATCGGTTATTAGGGCATGTACAATGGTTGATAAGATAGTCTTATCTTAAATCCTGCATGTAATTTAGATATGACAAAAAATATGTCTGTAATGGGTCATCTCTTAGCCCTATCTTCAATAACTAGCTATTCCTAAAAATATGGTGAGACATATTGTGCTAAGAAATCATCTCTCGTCTTCTTTTAACTAAGAGGACAAACTTTTTCTTATGATTTCTCTCTTCTGCACCTCATCATTTCATCATTTATCCTACATGGTATTTCTAAGATAAAACCATTGTACATACCCTTAGCTTCCGCCGCCAAATTCATTCGTTCACTCTCTCACTCTCTCTCTAAATAAACAAATTCATTCATTCTTCTCAAAAACGGATCCGGACCCATTATAATATTTTACCACGGGTACAAATACAAAGCTTCCCAAATGTAATAAAAATTGCATCAAGGTCGATCTCTGAACCACACAGAACGACCACTGTTGTCGCTAGAATGAGTTGTCGCCGGTCCCTTACCAGAGACTGCCTGACCTTGTCGATAATAATCGGAAAGTCTTTATGCACATGTTCCAAAGAACTAGCCCCTGGATCTGCAATTGTCGTTGTTGAACCATTGAATCGATATGAAGCGCCTCACACGAGATTCCGCCTTCGCGTACGCATGATGAGGAAGCCTAACCTCACCGCCCAAAAAGGAGATGACAGAAATATATGTTGTAGCCCCGTTGACTCCGTCCTAACGGATGATGACAGAGATAATTCCGGCAAATCCCTCGGTAGGGTATCCCAGTGGGGTGATTAGGTAGTTTCGATTCTTCTACCTAAGATTATAATTATTGTGGGCAATAAAGTTGATATCATTAACATCAACATCAGTAATAGTATTTGTAGGACTTCTTTAACTTTAACCATACATATAAGCTCTTCAATTTTACTGTAAGTTCTTCATTATTATTTTTTGATAATTGAATTTGCCTTTCTAGACATGGATCTTTCAACATTCCATTGAGCATGATTCTCTTGCATATCATCAAGAATTTTCTTTGCATCAACAACTTCTTTCTACATAATAGTTTCTCTTGTAGCTGTATCAAACATGTTTTTTGATAAAGAATTTAAAGCGTTATACTCCCTCCGTCCTAAAATTCTTGTCTTAGATTTGTCTAAATACAGATATATCTAGTTACATTTAGTGTTAGATACATCCGTATCTAGACAAATCTAAGACAAGAATTTTGGGACGAAGGGAATAGAACACATGAGGAATTAGTCATTCATCCATGCCATGTTTAGGACAATTCCTAACAAATGCTTTCATCCGTGCCCAAGCAGGCACTAGTGGCTCATGATCTTCCTGTCTAAACTTGTGATGTTAGCACATAATTGCATGGTTTTAGCAGATGGAAAATATTGTCATAAACATAACAATGCAATTATTCCAAGATCCAGTATGATGGTGACCCTAGGTTTATCGAACCCACGAGAATTGATGCTTAACGAGGAGATTTCTACAAGAACTTGTTATCTAAAAGAGTTGTAGTTTCCCAAATCAAATCCCAAAGGTGATTAAAAGATGAAAATAATAAAATAAATAGGCTAGGCGTAAAGGTTTGTGTACCTGTGCTCGGAGTTCTGTTTAGACAAATAACATGCCACTGGTAACACCGTTGTTTATATCTTGTTAATATATTACTATGAGAGATGCATCCAAATAATCCCATAACAGACTACTGTCGGATCGAGATTTTATTGTACAACCAAGACCCTTCTGACTTGCGGGGTTACCTCACTTATTAAGGAATAACTAGACCAATCTAGATGCAAACCAACCTGTGGTTGGATGGTTAGAGGGACTGTGGTATCCCCAGCCCACCAGGGTTCAAATCCTGGTGCTCGTATTTATTTCTGGAGTTATTTCAGGATTTCCGGCGATGCACATTCAGTGGGAGGAGACGTTCCCGTCGACGAGGAGGTGCCCACGGTAACTTCGTAAATCTCAAGATGATATGTCAGCTCAGTCTTTCGGAGGTGGTCATAGGGGTAGGGTGTGCGTGTGTGCGTTCAAATGGATGAGTGTATGCGCGTGTATATGAGCGCTTGCGTCTGTACTGATGTTCAAAAAAACTAGACCAACGTAATGAGTGTTTATTGACTGCACATTATCTATCCACAAAGAATCACTAGTAGAAAAGGGGTTAAATGTAAAGCACATTAGTGCCGGTTTGAATTTGAGCCGGCACTAATGTGTCCATTAGTGCCGGTTCCAACGGCTAGGCGGGCGGACATCATTAGTATCGGTTCGTGGGCAACCTTTAGTATCGGTTCATGCCACGAACCGGTACTAATGAGGCTGTGTCAGGCTATGGTCAGGCTGGGGCCCCACGAAGACCTTTAGCACTGGTTCATGACATTAACCGGTACTAGAGTTTCTTAGTAAGCTGATTTTTAGTCCCACCTCGCCAAGAGAGAGGCAGTATGAGCGATTTATAAGCCGTGAGTGCAAAGACGATGAAGGAGAGGCGCAATGCTCACCTGCATGTTGCTTAGCTTCAAGCCTTTCGGAATAGCATAGATTGCACGGAGCTATGTGCAGTGCAGCCTACACTATTCCGAAAGGCTTGAAGCTAATTAACCAGCATTGCACCTCTTTTTTATTTTTAATAACTTATTTGAACTCCGGACTTTTTGTGTTCACTATGCAGCATTCAAAGCGACGTCATCAATTTCCAACATGTTCTGACATCATTTGTTGTTTTTCAGTCATTTACCGATTTGTTTAGAGAGCTAAATGACCGTGAAATTGAAAATCAATACAAAATTGAACTCTGAAAATGTTAAAACTTGGCATGGTATCATCATTTCAGCCGCATACCATGTGCGAAAGAGTAGAGAGGGTCACGGCAAAACCTGGAAGCACTTCGTGTACAAACTGGACAATGTCTTTCGGAGTATCAGGGTTTCAGACAACAACTCATCTGTTACACGGGCACTTCAATGTATTTTAAACTTATTTGAACTCCAGAAATTTTTTGCGTTCCTTATGCAGCATTCAAAGCGACGTCATCAATTTCCAACACGTTCTGACATCATTTGCTGTTTTTCAGTCATTTACCGATTTGTTTAGAGAGCTAAATGATCGTGAAATTGAAAATCACTACAAAATGAACTATGAAAATGTTGAAACTTGGCATGGTATCATCATTTCAGCCGCATAGCACGTGCGAAAGAGTAGAGAGGGTCACGGCAAAAACTGGACGCATTTCGTGTACAAACTGGACAATGTCTTTCGGAGTATGAGGGTTTCAGACAACAACTCATCTGTTACACGGGCACTTCAATGTATTTTAAACTTATTTGAACTCCAGAAATTTTTTGTGTTCAGTATGCAGCATTCAAAGTGACGTCATCAATTTTCAACACGTTCTGACATCATTTGCTGTTTTTCAGTCATTTACCGATTTGTTTAGAGAGCTAAAGGACCGTGAAATTGAAAATCACTACAAAATTGAACTCTGAAAATGTTAAAACTTGGCATGGTATCATCATTTCAGCCGCATAGCATGTGCGAAAGAGTAGAGAGGGTCACGGCGAAAACTGGACGCACTTCGTGTACAAACTGGACAATGTCTTTCAGAGTATCAGGGTTTCGGACGAGAACTCATCTGTTACATGGGCACTTCAATGTTTTTTAAACTTATTTGAAATCCTGACTTCTTTTGCGTTCAGTACGCAGCATTTAAAGCGGTGTCATCAATTTCCAACACGTTCTGACATCATTTACTATTTTTCAGTCATTTGCCGATTTGTTTAGAGAGCTAAATGACCGTGAAATTGAAAATCACTACAAAATGAACTATGAAAATGTTGAAACTTGCCATGGTATCATCATTTCACCCGCATAGCATGTGCGGAAGAGTAGAGAGGGTCACGGCAAAAACTGGACGCACTTCGTGTACAAACTGGACAATGTCTTTCGGAATATCAGGGTTTCGGACGAGAACTCATTGATACGTCTCCGTCGTATCTATAGTTTTTGATTGTTCCATGCCAATATTATTCAACTTTCATATACTTTTGGCAACTTTTTATACTATTTTTGGGACTAACATATTGATCCAGTGCCCAGTGCCAGTTCCTGTTTGTTGCATGTTTTTTGTTTCGCAGAATATCCATATCAAACAGAGTCCAAACGGAATAAAAACAGACGAAGATTTTTTTTGGAATATATATGATTTTTGGGAAGAAGAATCCACGCGAGACGATGCTCGAGGGGCCCACGAGGTAGGGGGCGCGTCCTGGGGAGGCAGCCGCGCCCCTGACCCTCGTGGCCATCCCGTAAGGCGGTTGATGCCCTTCTTTCGCCGCAGGAAAGCTAATTTCTGGATAGAGATCGTGTCAAAATTTCAGCCCAATCGGAGTTACGGATCTCCAGGAATATAAGAAACGGTGAAAGGGAAGAATCTGAGAACGCAAAAACAGAGAGAGACAGAGAGACAGATCCAATCCCGGAGGGGCTCTTGCCCCTCCCATGCCATGCAGGCCAAGGACCAGAGGGGAAACCCTTCTCCCATCTAGGGAGGAAGTCAAGGAAGAAGAAGAAGGGGGGGCTCTCCCCCTTGCTTCCTGTGGCGCCGGAGTGCCACCGGGGGCCATCATCATCACCGTCATCTTCACCAACAACTTCATCGCCTTCACCACCAACTCTTCCCCTCTCTATGCAGCGGTGTAACCTATCTCTTACCTACTGTAATCTCTACTTAAACATGGTGCTCAACGCTATATATTATTTCCCTATGATGTATGGCTATCCT